GCCGTACGCAGGTAGTAGAGCGGCAACGACGACGCTCGGCTCTCGCCCGCCTGCACCGAGGATACGATGAATGGATGGATGGGTGGATGGGTGGAGGAGGGTTGGGTGTTGGGTGTTGGGTGTTGGGTTGGGGGGGAGGTACGTGGGGGGAGGAGGCAACGAGGGCGAGCGACTGGAGGAGAGCGAGGGCCGCTTCGATGGCAGGGGCGCGTGAGTGAGAGCGCAGGACGTCGGCGATCCGGAGGGCTACGCTCTCGTGCAGGCGGCGAGGGAAGGGCCGGGCCTCCTCGGCGGCGGCATGCAGAGTCGTCAGCTCGGCCAGCAGGAGCCCCACGGCCCCGATCACTTCACGCTCCCCCGTCCCTTCGTCCTGAAGAGGCCAGTCCGCACCACCCATGTGAGGCACACGACACGACCAACGGCACAGCGTGCGAGTGGAGAGAAAAGGGTGCGGGTGCGGGTGCGTGTGCGTGTGCGTGCAAGGGGGCGAGTACGGGGGCGAGGAGAGGCAGGGCCTGCTGAAGAGAGGCCTCGGCAAGGGTCCGCCGCTGTCCAACAGGGACAGCCTCGAGCACGCCCTTCATGGCCTGGAGGGCGGCCGCCCCGAGCGTGTTGCCGCCTGCTGCAGCTGCTGCTGGCGGCGGCGGTTGTAGTGCTGCAGTGCAAGCGAGGGCGCGCAGGGCGAGGAGCAGGAAGCAGGCGGCGTGCGGCACCACCAGCTCGCCCTGCTGGAGCGGTGGCACCCAGCGCACCAGCAGGGAGACCAGCGGGGGGAGAGCCAGAAGGGCCTCCTCAGCGGCCTCGAGGGACGTGGAGGGCCACCACGCACCCACCTGCCACACACACCCACACACCCACACGACGGCACGACACGACACACGCGTGCGGGAGGTGGGTATACGCTGGGTTGAGGCGGAAGGAGAAGGAGCCTTCGAGGAAATTGGGACAGCCGAGCGAGAGCAGAGCAGAGGGCAGCGGGTGAGAGAGGGAGGGGCAGGAGGCACGTAACGTACCTCGGCCGGATTGAGTCCGCGGGCGAGAGGCAGGAGAGGGCGCAGCACGAACGGCACCAGCTCCTCCGCGAGGGGCAGCGACGACGACGACGACGACGACCCATCAACAACGTCGTCCCGGGACGACGCGTCCTTTTTTGGAGAGGAAGAGTGGGGGCAAGGAGAAGAAAGGGACGAGAGCAGGCAGGCAGAGATAATCATGACAGGGTTGGCCACAGGCGGTACACCAATCATATCATTTGGGGGGGGCACGTACGATGTAGGGCGGGCGGGTCAGGAGGATGGCGAGCTGGCGAGCGACGCGGGCGACCGCATGAGCGACGAGGGGGGTGGCCTTGTGCCGGTCGGCGATACGGACCCCGTAGCTCACCAACTCCCGCAGGCGCTCCTGTTATTTTGACACACGGCACACACGACACACGGTGAATGAAGCAGCAATGAAGAAAATGGGGGGGGGGCGGTTGTGGGGAGCGTAGGTACGGAGGAGAGGCGGTGGGCGGGGGTGGCGAAGTGGGCCGAGGTGAGGAGGGTTTCGATGGCCAGCAGGCAGGCCCGCAGCTCCCGCGGCAGGGCGCCCGCCTCCAGGCAGTACCGCATGCACAACCCCTGCACGCACAGCGGCCGCGCGTTGGCAGCCGGCGGAGATACTGGGTGGTTGGGGGGTTGTGAGGGGAGCGTACGAGGACGATCTCGAGCTCCTCGCGGGTGAGCCGCTCCTCGTCGGTCGTGCGCGCCGCGGCCGTGGTGCCCGCAGGCTGCTGCCCCTTCTCCGCGGGCAGAGACGGGAGTGCGACGAGGGAGGCGAGGGCGTGGAGGCACGTGGGCACCGCCTGCCGGTAGAGCGCGAGGACGGCGGGAGGGAGTGGCACCAGCGACAGGTCGTAGAGGGCCACTGCCGGCACGCCACACCCAATACACGACACGCCACACGCGACACGCCACACGCGAGAGAGAGAGAGAGAGAGAGTAAAATACGCGCCACCGACAGGTGGTGGCTGGTGTGGGTGGGTGGTGAGACGTACAGCGGGCCTTTTGGGCGTGGATCTTTTGGCCCTCCTCGCCGCAGGTGCTGCCCACCGCAAAATCGCGCACTAGCCCCACCCAGTAATCCTTCATGGCGCCGTAGTGCTACCAGGACGCGACACGGCCAACGCCACACAACGCCACCACGACACGTATTCGAAACGTGCCGCGGTCACTACGCGCGCAGAGCTGGCGGGACAGGGCGGGGTGGGGCGCGGGTTGGCGGAAGGAGGCGGGAGGCGGCGTACAGGGCGCAGAAGCTTGGCGAGGGTGGCGGCGTTGGCCGGCAGGATCGATGGACGCTCTTCGAAGCAGGTCGGCGGAGGGAGGGTGAGGTCGTGGAGGTGCGCGAGGGCGGCCACGAAACACACACGCACGCGTGTGGACGCCTCATCGCTGAACCCGGCGTAATGGATCTCTGCACCTCCACCCCCACCCACGTGCAGCAAGCACATGAGAAAGGCCTCCTCGGCGGGAGAGGGGGGTTGTGACACGACACACGACACACGACACACACGACACACACGCACGCACACGCACGACACACACACGACACACACACGACACACACACCACGGCCCACAACACACCACGGCACACGCAAGGGCAGGAGGCAAGGGCAGGAGGGAGGAGGGAGGAGGAGGGAGGAGGGTACGGGCGATCTCGGGTAGGGGGGCGATGAGGAGGGCGGTCAGGCGGCGGAAGATGACGGGGTCGGAGGAGACGTTGAAGCGGAAGAAGGCCACGAGGACGTCCACGGCCATGACGGTGGCATCGGGCTGGGCCGTCTCCCGTTCAAACGCCGGGCGGAGGGCTGCCGCGATCTGGGACTGGTACTGCTCCAGCACGCTGTGGCCGGCAGCCTCTTCGTCCTCCGCGTCGGCATATTGCTGCACACAGCGGCGGGCGGGCGGGCGCGCGGGTTTGTGTTGTTGCCGGCGCTCGGCGTTAGCACTGGCACCGGCGGGCGTGCGTGCCGCCCAACCGCGCCAAACGGAAAGCCCGGCGACTGCGATGGCGGCGGCGGCGGCGGCAACAAAGGAAAGATGCGGATGGGGATGGGGATTATTGGTGGGGGGGGTGGCGCACGAGAATGACGTCCTGGAGGAGGCCGAGGCCGTGAGGGCGGAGGGTATGGACGGTCGCGGTGGCGGCGGTGAAGCCCACGGCCACCAGATCGGCCAGCCATCCCACGGCTGCCCTGCCCGTGCTTTTGCCCGTGGACGACGACGAGGCAGGGCCGGTACCGCCAGCAGAGGCGCGAAGCACGTCGCGCAGACACATCACGGCGAGGGCGCGGGTGCGGCAGCGGGGCACCAGGCCTCCCGCCCTCAGCTCCCCCGCCATCGACGCTGCGCACCCTCCCTCTCCGCCGCCGCCGCCCTCCCCGCCCTCGCCGCCGCCCAGACCGCCGGCACCTTCTTCGCCTGCATCCGCTGCAAACAACTGCGGCGAAGAGTCCAGCGTCTGGGCGACGACACAAACGAGACACGAGACACGATCCATCAACAGCGAGTGGTGCTGAGGGGGGGGGCTTCCAAGGCGTACCTTGTGGACAAGGGAGCGGGAGGTGGTGGTGGCGAGCTGCTTGCAGGCCGCGAGCCACGAGCCCGGGTCGAGGGTGCCGCACGTTTCGGCGAGCAGGCGGAGGAGGAGGGCGGCCTGCTCCTGCACGCGAGGCTGGCTCTCGGCGTCGTAGGTGGCCCACACGCCGGCACTCACCGCGGGCACCTGCCCCAGCACCTGCGGGTCTGCCTGCGCGCACCTGCGTGTTTGGCCCGCGCCACGCACAGCCCCCGCCCATCAGCACCAGCTCCGACCACCGGGGGGGGGTAGCGGTGGGGGGACGCACTGGCGCAAACACTGGAGGGCGGCCACGCGGACCTCCACGTACGGACTCAGAAGGCAGCGGGTCACGTGCGGGAGCGCCCGCCCCACCTGGAACGTGGGCTGCAGGAAGAGGAGGGCCTGCTCCACGAACTGCAGCCACTCGACCGCCACGGCCTCCTGCTTACCCCGCACCCCCGCACCCGCACGCACGCACGCACGCACGCAGACATACGCCCAATATTACCCCCCCCCCAGTAGCCCGTGAGCGCCCGCCGCTCTACACTCCTCTCGAGATATATCACGCGAGAACAGAGAGGGAGAAAGGGGCAGGAAGCAGAGAGGTCGTGCACGGAGGAGGAAAAAGGGCCGTGCTGGTTGCTGCAGGCGGCGGCTGGGGGGGAGGGGGTTGGGGCTAGTAAGTAGAACGTACGTCGGGGTGGGCGCGAAGCTCGCGAGCGAGGCCTTGCACGTGAGCGGAGAGAGTTGGCGTCGCGCTCAGCTCGGGACCGAGAATGGCGACGAGGGCGTTCATGGCCCTTCCCACCAAGCGGTAGCACTTGGCGCCCGCTCCTTCGGCCTCGGGCACCTGGTCCAGCCACACGACACACACGACACGACACGACACGACACACCACGCACACATGACATCAGCCGCCGTCAGCGCTCCCTCGTCAAGGATGCACTCACCAGGCACCGCCGCCTGGAGGACAAGGACAAAGAAAAGCCATGTGTACGTACTTCGGCCATCAGGCGGGAGAGGAGGAGGACGATGGCGCCCTTCCCGTAGCCCGAGTTGGCGACCTGGAGGCCGGCCGAGTTGATGACGAGGGTGAGCGCGTGCAGGGCCGGCAGGTAGACCTCAGGCGCCGCGTCCCGGATGAGCAGACTCAGCGTCTCCACGCTCTCGCTCACGTAGCCGCCCGCCTTCATGCCCATCGTCCTGCAGGTTGGGGGGTTGGCCACGAGGTGTGGTGATGATCGAGTCTCGGTCATGATGAATCGAGAGAGGAGCGTTGGGGGGGGGAGCGGCCACCTACCGATGGATAGACCCCACTATAAAGGCCGAAGAGGCGCGCGACGCGACATCCGATATTGTTTTGATCTGCAGAAGCATGCGAGCCGCATGCGACACACACACACACACACACACACCACACACACCACACACAGCGCCATTGCGGTCAGCGACGACCGAGGTGGTGGTGGTGAATGGAATGGAATGGAAGAGAGGGGGAGTACGCGAGGTGCGGAGAAGAGGGGCATGATGGTGTCCGTGAAGTCTGTTCCCTCGATTCTGCCCAGGGCGCCCATGCACTCGCCAACGAGTGCCCGCACCACGCTATCTCCGTGGCCCTGGCACCCTACACGACACACACGCATGTACACACACATCAATGCGCGCTTCACAGGGGGTGTGCCATGTGGATTGGGGAGGGGAGGGGGGAATGGCCTGGTCGGGCGTGGCCACGCACCGAGGATGAGGGAGTGGGCGGAGGACAGGAGCTTCTGGCTGCTGAGCGAGAAGGTGCCTCCCCTCGCGATGAGGCTTCGGAGGACGTGGAGGACGGCGCACAGCACATTCCTCGCCACCGTGATCGCGTCGGCCGCCATCGGCTGCTCCACGCTGATGCATTTGTCCTGTGGGTGCCGCGTGCCGCGTGGGTTACGTGTGCCATCACGCCATGCCAGCAGGGTTGCACCCCGCCAAGTGGAAGCAGAGGCGGAGGAGGCGGTGGGGGGGGAAGGGGCACCTTGAGGGCGTGGGTCAAGTGGTCGATGAGCTGCTGCCGATTCTTCTCCGTCTGTTCCACGAACAGGAGCGCGAAGAGCTGCACGCTCACATCCACAGCGCCAACGGATCCTCGCACTCCCCACTGTCCGTGTGTATGGCGTGTCGTATGTATCGTGCGTGTCGTGTGTCGTGTGTGTCGTGTGTGTGTGGCCACACAGGTCGGCAAATGCACTACGGACGAGCGCGCGCGTGCAGCAAGAGGGGGAGGCGAAGGGGGAGAAGAGATACGTCGAGGGCAGGGCTGTGGACTGACGCGGGTGCCCACATGAAGGAGGGCTCCAGTGGTCCGTCGAGTACCAGGAGCTCAGCCTCGCCATCCACCTGGGGATGGCGCGTGGGTGAGGCGGTGGCGACGAAGGAGAGATGGCTGGTAGTGGTCGGGTCGTGGTGGTGGTCGTGGTGGTTGGTGCGTGGTGGCTGGTGGTGGTGCGTGGTCGTCGTGGTCGGGGGATACGTGGTACGTACGTGGTAGGAGGCGGACGAATAGGGCGAAGTGAGGACGCGGTCTTCGTCGGGCAGGCACAAGTCCAGGAGGGACGTCTGCTGGCCCCCGTCGATGACCAGGTGAGACGTGACTCGCAGCAGCGCCACCGCCTGCCACCCGCCCACCACCGATCACCACCAGACGACGAATTCTGGTGAGATGATGACGACGACGATGGTGACGAAACGCAGGGACGGTGATGGGGGGATAACGGCAGTGGTAGATGGGTGAGTGGTGGGTGGGAGGCATGCACGCGGGAGATGATGCCTCTCTCTCTCTCTCTCTCTCTCTCTCTCTCTCTCTCTCTCTGTGTGTGTGTGTGTGTGGCTCGTGTGTGTGTGTGTGTGTGTGTGCTCGTGTGTATACTCTTTTGTACGTACCTGGAGGGGATATTCGGAGGGCGGGAGGGCAAGAAAAGTGCCGAGGAGCTGGTGCAGGAAGGCCATGATGGCCGACGCACACTCGCGCGAAACCTGGCCGGTGAGCTTGACCAGGTTCGTGCCCACCTCTCTGCATGCGTGCACACACACACGACACACATGACGCGCGCGCGCAGGTGCGGTAGGGAGAGGGTCGTGAGCCGCGAGAAAGAGGGGGGAGGGAAAGGGGGGGGGGGCGCACAGGAGGGAAAGAAGCCAGGAGAGGATGTGGGGGAGGAGGGGCTCGGCGTGAGCGGCGGGCACGTGTGCACAGAGAGAGTGAAGAGCCGCCAAGGCGGGCCGCTTGGATCGGCAAAAGGCCGTCACCGTCGCTTCGTCCCGGCCAATGAGGCGCTGCACGCCACACACACACACACACACACCACACGAGGGTCACGACAGAAGCCCTATAAGTATGTCCAAGAAGAACAATGAAGGCGGCCAAGAAGAAGCAGCAGCACATGTGGATTGGGGGAGGGATGATTCGCGGTTCTCCCCCCGGGCGGCGGCGGCGGCGGCAGAGTAGGCAAAGGAGGAAAAGACGCACCGAGGTGGCCAGGTGGGCCTTCCATACGGGGACGAGGTTGGGCAGCTCGTCCTGGAGGAAGTGCGGCCTGGCGACCATGATCGACGCTATCACCGCCCACGCGACCTCGGCTCGCGTCGTGCCGACTTGAGAGTCAATGAGGAAGAGAGGGGGGGGGTGATAGAGGATACCGGACGGAGGAGTACAACACGACACACAAAATGCACAAAAGGTGAGCTCACCATGCGATCAGAACGCGAGCACGGGGATTGGCGGCGGCGGCGGCGGCGGC